TGACCTGCTAGTTATTCACGAATGCGCAGAACATGTTTTTTGCCGGACTGCGACGACCTACCCCTACACTGCAACCACAAACGTGAGAATGTCCATATAACGTCGGGCAGCCATTTTCGCCCGTCAGCGCCCAAATTGGTAGGTAATTTGTTTTTAAAGTTATTTTTATGGCCTGAATTATTATCATAGACAATGAAATTCCATTTTGTTTAAATGTAATTTTGTTTAAAATTGTGTTATTTATAGCTTAAAACGGTTTCAAAACCATCACGTGTGAGTGAATATTTTACTGTTGTCCCACATACTGATATATGTGTTATAACGAAACATGCAAAATCAATGCCGGACTTTTCCCCTTAAAAAGCTAATTTCTTAGACAGAAATTGAATTTTGTTATAAGAATCCCGTAAATAATGATATTCATGATGTTCCTACACCTCAGATTTTTTCTGACAAGTGTTAAATTAATTAATATTATTTATATGGTGCAATTAATTGTCATTGAACAATGATGGCTAAGCCTAACGAAAAACACAAGTTATTGAACATTGTTTCCTTCAAGTTAGGAAGTTCAATCTGAGACCCGAAATACCAACATTTTGGGCAAAAAAAGGGGTTGGGGTTGAGATAGAGAAGAATAGGCTAAAGGGGGAGGGCACCCCCCCCCCCCGATTCAATTAATATTGGATACATAATAATGTAATGAGCCTTTTTTTTTTTAATATAATTTTTTTTTTTTTTTAATTTTTTTTTATAAATTAAATAATCATTGATCTGGCTCCCCCTTCCCCCTCATCCAAAGGTTGATGTGAGGGATAAGGGGTTTCAACACCTTCCCTCCCCCTCCAAATAATGATAAATAACAAATATAATTTTTTAACAAAAATTTATAATTCAACACAAATATTAAACTTAAAAGAAAAATTAAAATGAACAACCAATAATAATACCTACTTTTATTTTGGCATGCAACGAGCCAAAAGTGAGGATGGTGCCTCCCTATCCATCTTGCAATCCTCTGTCTAGTTGTTCCATCCTTAATTCTTAAAATTTGATTTTACAACAGATCTAGATAGAAGTACTTGATAATTGCAAACACAACACACGTTTGAAATGAAAAATCACAGAAACAATTAACAGTTTTGTTTTATTTTTATCTCATTTAATATTCTTTACTCATTGGTTTTTATTTATTTCTTTTCATGCATATTTATTAGATTGCTGCATCCATTTCATTCATGGCTCCTCTACCTCCCTTGAGGATTCAGCTCCGGCAGAGAGAGATCAAGAGAGCAGGCAAAATGACCAGTCATCGAAACCTTCCTGGAAAACAAAGATCCTTCCAATCTAATCACTATTTTGAAGAAGATATAAAGTTGATCATTGATATATACCTCTTTTATGAATACTGTTTTTTAATTTACTGATCAAGGGATGAAATATATTTCAGATGACATTTGATGTAGTCTGTCATTTTTCAATGAGTATAAGAGGACAGTTACTCTAATATCATACGGATGTTACTCGGACATGATGTCCGTGTAACATTGGTAACTGGAGGTGTTGAGGTGAATATAGACCATAAATCTTGCAGCTTTCCTTTCAATTGTGTTATCATCTCATTAAATATGTTTCATGCATCAATTAATTAGCACATTTCTTGGAATGTAGCCAAGATTTTCTATGCAAGAGAAAAGATTACCCTTTAGAAAAAAAACATGATCTGAAAATTGCTAGTTCCTCATTTGTTTCATGTTTATAAATTGATATAATGTTGCTGTGTTCAAGTTTTAAGTATTCTAAACTATTGCTCCCATCATCTAAATGTTTTCCACACACAAAAAAGTGGATTACAGACTGTGACAAAGTTTCAGATCAGAAAATAAATGAGCAAGTAAGAAAAAGATGTCCTTGTAACGTTGGTTTTTTGGTGTGTCTGTTTTTTCATTTTAAATGAAAGTGTGCGAAGGAATACACACAATTCCAGTGGAATCTATTGAAGAATGGGTGTTAAAAACAGGATATAACAATATAAAAATTATTCAACAACTCTGAATTTTGAACCTTCATGTCACAATTTATGACCCAACCCGATGGAATGACCCATATATCAAATCTATTATAAGATAGAGATATGACCATTTATATTTATATGCAAGATTAGTAGACCATTAAGTTTTTGTTGTTGGTTTTTTACCATGTTATTAATCTTGCTGAAATGTATTATTCTAAAAATCCTTACTCATTGTCATTCCATGCTCACTGTCTCCTACAAGGTTGGATTTGGAAAATAATTGTTTTGTGTGGGTTATATTGTCGGGGAGGAGTTGGTCAACATAAAACATATGCAATGACATTGTTTTACTACATGTTGCAATTGTATTATTTTTTTCCTTCTTTTTCATTTGTATTTGACAAGGAAAAAAAGCTTTAAAAAGTATCATAAGTAACTAATTCCCTGTATTATATTCCAGAAGAGACAAACAGTAGTATGTTAATTTTTGTCAATCCTGCTAATTGAAATATTTACTTTTGCACTCAATTATGTATGTTACACTTTAATTTTGAAATTTGTTATCCAATGTTATAAAAAGAATCGAGAAGGATCCTATCTGTTTGGATATAAATCCATACAATTTGACAAATTTAATTGAATTATAGCTGGTTGTATGTGAGTGAGCACCCATGTTAAATGAATGCAGTGAAGATCAGTTCAGGCAGTACGTGGACTAGTATACACATGATATATAGACAGTGCTCATTTTGTGTTCATCACTGAATACATGTACATGTACACATTCATTATCGCTTTGACCTCCTAAGAATTCAGAATGGGTAGACTTATCACTAAGATGCTGCTATCATGTATCACTGTACAACACTGCAGGCTGGGCTGTACAACCTTTTCTTGTAAATGGTATGTCATGTATTGTACCGGTATACAATCAGAAATACTCCATGGCAGGCTTATTAATTTGTATAATTTGCATAATTGGAATATATTCTAATCATGTGATACTAATATGCAAATATCCCACTTGGCAACAATCATTTACAAACGTGTAGATTCAATTACCAAAGAAAATGATATCTTGGGTCTTTTGAAAATTAGTTTTTAGCCCCCCCCCCCCCCCCCCCCTCTTTCTAAAATGTATAAATATATTTTTCATAAATGGCTCAGAAATATTCACATTTACATGTAAATTATGCAGACCACATTACCTTAGATTCGAATTTTTGACTGGTGGAATATTGGTGTTGTGTGCTGTAATAAGATTGTGCATATATTATACATTGTAATTAAGGAACTTCAGCAGCGACAGTCACCTATGATTATCACCTTTCAGGTGATTTGATACTGGTGTTTTCATTTTTATTTCCACAAATACAGTCAAACCTGCTTTAGTGACCACCTGTCTACAGAGACCACATTTGTTGTTTCCCTTGAAAATGGTTTCTCATTGAATCATGTACTAAGAGAACCTGTCTACAAAGACCACCTGTCTACAAAGGCCACTTTTTGTGTTTCCCTTGGGTGGTCGCTATAGACAGGTTTGACTGTAGTAAATTTCATTTTAAATCAGTATGCACATTGGCTTTAGGCCTAAAGTTCATTTTTTTCAGGCCATAATCCCATATTTACCTGAAATATACATTTTGGTCCATTAGGATACTGGTGTTTGTGCATTATAGAGTAAACTATAGGTTTTTACATAAACTTGCAAACTTAGGCCTAATTTTTGCAAGATTCATGAGTGATCAAGCATTACATTCCCTCTAGACAGCTAATGTACTTTCTCAAAACTCTGGCTTACAGGTACTTGTTATTCCTAGGGTTAACACAAAGTGGGGGGAGTGAACCTTCGCTCATGCTGGGCCGTCATTATGGAATACTCTCGCTCAATGGATTAAAAATAGCAGTTCTGGTGAAGTGTTAAAAAATAACCTTAAGAAATATCTATTTAATTTAGCTTATAATTGATTATCATTACCTTTGATGTCCGTACCTCTCCTATTTTACTTGGGTCTATTTATCATGTATTTCATCTTTTGCACAAAGTTGCGCCTTGAGCATTTGATTGTTAAGTGGATTTGGTGCCTTGCAAATCTAATGTAGACTATTATTATAATTATTATTATGAAACTATAGATTTTTGCATAAACTTGCAAATTTAGGTCTCATTTTTGCTAGTTTCAAGAGTGGCAACAAACATATTTAGATCAGCACCTTGTGTTGTATCTGATATTAGAATTTTCAGCTCATAGTCAAATTTTAGTATTTGCACATTGATACGTAATTTTGCATTTATAAGATAGACATCATTATGAAAAATAAACAATTTATAGCTTAGAAATATTTATATTCACATTTTTGTAATCAATAGGATAATCCGCAGCGAGTGTTAAATCGTGTCCATTTATTTATGAAAAGTTATACAAAAAGTCACCTCTCTAATTTTGGTATATGGTAAAAAAAAACGTTTTTGAAAGTATCATAGATATTGCGATACATGTGAGTTAGTGCGCAGCATGTACATGGCAGATGGCGATCTACGGACGGTGGCTTAGGACTTCACAAAAAAGAATGATATGGTATGGTAAGTTAGAAGTTTTCGCTACAAAATGATGTACAATTATACAATGGCACCTGTATAATTCATGTTCAGAGGAGTTATCTGTGAAAGACTGCTCAGGCGAGCGGAAACTGGGCTACAGATTTACCCTTGAAGGCCTTATTTTTGAAAGTTTTAGGAAATTTACTTTGGAGTTCAGGGGCACGGCAACTTAGCGTGGCCTCCTTTCCGAATAGTTGTGTGTTACTGTTAGAGATTGCATGTACATTGTAGAACGTAAATGGACATCGTAGATACTCTTGTCTCTTGATGACTCGATGAGCCATAACAAAAATTAAGTCCTTGTTCTTGTCAGCTTTGAATTGAGCATGGCCAAATTAAGCAATTAAGAATGAGGAATGCTAAATAAAAGAGGGTCAAAATTACCTGACTTGCTGATGATTAGTACATTGGCTCTTGGCTCGCCTATGGAGTATGGCACTATGCTGGTCTATGTTTAATAAAATGAAATCCATGTTAAAAATCTTGCAAGATGTATTTTAACTCGATTTCGATTTTGGCCCATAATTTCCTAAAAACGGACCATTAAACAGATTATTTCAGTCAAGTTGGTAAGTAGAACCGATTTATTATAGCCTAGGCCTAATTTACAATAAAACATGCCCGAGGTAAAATGACATTTGGGGGGATTTTCGGGGCATAAAAATATGGCCTTAAATGGCCATGGTGTTAGCAAGGGAATGCGTATAGTCGGCTTCCGTCTCTCAAGAAAGAGCCGACCCTACCCCAATAAGAGGCTAACGAACGAAAGAGACGGAAAATTCGGTCTAGGCCAGACGTAGACCAAAAGCTTCAGTCTCTATATCGTCAGTTGTTCCACTGAAACTACGTCTGGCTCCACTAGACCTCCGGATATACAGACTGAACGATCGCCTATGCCATCGTACGTTGAAGATACACTCTACGGGTATACGATAAGACGATACTGCCCTGACGCTAAGTTAAATCCTTTTTTTGTTATAATCGCATGCACTAACATGTACAATTGGCATTTGGAAGTAAACCCCACATGATAAACATTAAGAAAATATGTACCTTGGACCTCTGCATATGAAAATCTTCTTCAAAAAAGTGTTATTATCTCTTCCACTTGACTGTCTTCAGACGTCAGCCATCTTGAATCAAAGTAATGAATATTCATTAATATTTTAGTCTCCACCCCATTGACCTCATTCATAGACATGCGCGTACGTGCACGTACATGTACATCTCGCATCGTTTGAGTTCTCGTGTTGTCTGCTTCACTTGCGCGCGCTATCCTCGACGTGCCGCGCGGAGGAGCTAGCCGAGGCGAGGTCAACAATCCCCATTATCGTATTTGAATATTCATTAGCCGCCATTTTGATTTCTGTCGGACAGAATGCTTGACGTGGGTCATCGAGAAGCAGCCAAAAGCTTGGTAAGTCCTTTTATTTCTTTTATATTTCTATTTCGTGGAGAAGGGGGGTAAAAAGGGAACTTTTAGGGACTGACAATTGCCTAGAAAATTACTGCAATTGAAGATGAATGATGTATTTCTCCTCAAGTTTGTCATGTTTGTGGGAGGGGCCTAACGGCTAAAATCTAGCCGTGATATCTTCAACATACGATGGCATAGGCGATCGTTCAGTCTGTATATCCGGAGGTCTAGTGGAGCCAGACGTAGTCTCAGTGGAATAACCGACGATATAGAGACTGAAGCTTTCGGTCTAGGCCAGATGCAGCTCAGACCCCCCTGCCCCTTGTCTACACCATTCTCAGTGGAACCACCATTGATTGAAGCAAAAAAATGTGAGGAACAGGTCAGCGAAACTGATACTAGACCTAGTAGTGACCTAGACCGAAAGCTTCAGTCTCTATAATCGTCGGTTGTTCCACTGAGACTGCGTCTGGCTCCACTAGACCTCTGGTTATAGAGACTGAACGATCGCCTATACCATCGTATGTTGAAGATATCACGGCTAGATTTTAGCCGTTAGGCCCCTCCCACAAACATGACAAACTTGCCACGGCCGTATTGTTATGCCCCAAAATCCCCCAAAATGTCATTTTACCTCGTGTATATCCAATTTTAAATTAGGCCTAGGCTATAATACATTGGTTCCACTTATTAACTTGATTGAAATAATCCGTTTAATGGTCCCTTTTAAGGAAATTATGGGTCAAAATCGACATCCATGTTGAAAATCTTGCAAGCCGTGTTAAACTCTCGCTGCCGTCAATCTCATTCCTTCTAGTCTACGGCTACGCCGAAGGCAAAATGATTATGAAGGAAAAACTGTGCGCCATCTACATGTTCGTAATGGCGTTATCACAGTTTTTCCTTCATAATCATTTTGCCTTCGGCGTAGACTAGAAGGAATGAGATTGACGGCAGCCAGAGTTTAACACGGCTTGCAAGATTTTCAACATGGATGTCGATTTTGACCCATAATTTCCTTAAAAGGGACCATTAAACGGATTATTTCAGTCAAGTTAGTAAGTGGAACCAATGTATTATAGCCTAGGCCTAATTTAAAATTGGATATAGATCTACACGAGGTAAAATGACATTTTGGGGGATTTTGGGGGATTTTGGGGGCATAGATCTAGACTTAACAATACGGCCGTGGCAAGTTTGTCATGTTTGTGGGAGGGGCCTAACGGTAGTAAAATCTAGCCGTGATATCTTCAACATACGATGGTATAGGCGATCGTTCAGTCTCTATAACCGGAGGTCTAGTGGAGCCAGACGTAGTCTCAGTGGAACAACCGAAGATTTATAGAGACTGAAGCTTTCGGTCTAGTAGTGACCATATTCCGGTTACAAAAGTCAATAATGAGAAAACTGAAAAGTTAAGAATTTTTAAAGTTAAAAAAAAATCTGATTTGAATCAGAATTTGCTCAAATACTAGAAATAGCACCCAATCTTATTGACCTGTTGCTCACTTTTTCTGCTTCTATGAAAGCCAACTTAATGTCAGGGTAGACTTCCCCTTCCCCTTTAAGACCGTAACTAGTAAGAGACTGAAGTAATGGAGCTGGCCCGCGCGCGCCGTGTAGTGCATACCAGGCCCCCCAAGCTCCGCCATTTTGTCCGGATCCATTAGAAGCCAAAATAAGCCCCCTTGCATAATTCATGAGCCCTATGAATTATGCATTCTGAAGGATGCTCCCCACGAAAAGTGTACTGGAATGATGTTCACTACATGGTAAAAGACAATACGCGTATCAGCGTAAATAGAGAGGTCAAATAATCTACTGTACGGAATTATGGGTAATTTATTCATCACGCTGCGCGCTAGCAATGCAAGTGATTCAGCGAATCAGCGTAGATTATTCTGATGCGATCACCGTAAGGTGAAATACGCGCTCGAACTTGTATTATCGATCACCAGTATAGCAGCTGGTGTACCCAGAATGCATCGGGAAGTGGACCTCTCGTTGTTGTGTTGTTGTTGTTTTTTAATATGGGGGAGTGGCCTTAACTTCATTGAATAAGAAATACTGATCCGATCTTATTCCCTTTTTAGTCTATCAATAACTGGGTCTGTTTTTGTTTTATTAACTCAAACATGCTATAAGCCATATAACAACACATTCTCTGGCTATGATTATACATTTTAAATATGCTATCATAAAGTGTCCTTATTTTATACAAACAAATTATGTGGCAAAAAGGATGGTTTTTCTCCACCCACTCTCATCGTACCTTAATGTTTCCCTTTCTCTCTCTCTTTCTCTGTCTTTCGTAAATTATCTTCTGCAACTAACGGTTTGTTGTCTTGACTGAACAACCTGTTGCAGTTCCTTTCTGTCTCACTTTCAGTCGTAATACCATTCATTTACATTTACTCGTTATCAACTACGATCAACCATTGATCCATATTCACTCCATTACTGTCCACATTTCACTTGGATTATCTTCACTTTTCCTTTTTGCAGCCTTTGCAGGAGCTTTGAACATTTTTAATGTAGAGACCAGAGAGATTGGAAAATAGGTTAATCATTTTATTCGAATTGAAAACGGAAAGTGAAACATTGTTTTTCAATATCTTGACATATTTTTTGTTTAAAGACAATGGAATTTAACACTGGAAATTTTGAATTTGGGCGCCCCCCCCCCCTCCAAAAAAAACAAAAAAAAAAAAAAAAAAAACAGGAGTGGTACCAGGGTTAGTTAGTTGGGAGGCCCATGTCCTTTATAATTTTATTTTTAGGAATAGTTTTCTCTTTTTTATCAATTTGACATTGGTATACCGTTAATTTCACTGGGAAAACCACCCCTTCCCTTACACATCAATACTGCCATTACTTCTAGCAACAGTAATTCTATAATTCAAAACGTTTTCATTTTCTAAATCCTTCTAATATAAACATATAACAAATATAATATTGTTTACACTTTTGCAACCTGTTACATGGTCCATTTAGAAACAGCACCAGGAAGAGGATAACAACCCCCTCCCCCCCTGTTTTCTTAAGCTAGGAAGTATCAAAACATGATTCTATTAAAATTAGCAGTTTGGATACAACAGGCAACGATGATTAGCAGTTTCCATATTTAGTGCATTTAGAGGGTTGTCTTTCAAACCTTCTTACATACAATACTTGAAGCAGCAATAATGTAATAATCTACAAAACTTCAAATACAGAAGTCCATAGACTGAGGTAAATGAATTTCAACATGTATAATTATAATTAAAATATCATTGATTGATTCAATCTTTGATATAGACTGATAGATCTTTATCACTCAAATTTCAAGGAAATTTCTTTCTGCCCAGCACTCAGTTTCATCCTATAAGATGGTAGTTGACATTGTTAAAATGTCATTAACGTTTATTCATTGATGATTAGTTATCTTTAATTATTTGAAAGTTGACGAGATGATAAATTCATTAGCTTTTTTTAAATGTGGTATTCTACAAACATATAATACAAATAATAAATAAATAGTATGTAAATATTCAAGTTTAAACCCATTTCTACTGTCCTCTTTCATTATATGAGGGGGCATCTTTAAGACGTAGTCCCATGTAGATGTCTTCTGCATTCATCGATGAAGTTGTAGGCTAGTTTTCAGAAGAAAGGGCTGTGATGATAACCCAAGTCTGTTGAATGGAAAAATGAAATAAGATACAGTGTATAAGAAAATAAACAACAACTAATAACATACACCCTGATACCTGCTCTGACAAAAAGAGGAAGGACTAATATTCACTTGGGGTTCTAGTGGGAAAACCTAAACTTTTTTTCCTATAAAACTAGTTACTGACCACATGTTAGATTATTTCTGATGATCCCATTAAGACAATAGGCCTGATGGAGCTTGGATCAGACAAGTATGAAATAAGTAATACTGGTACATGTACAATGTACTTGTAATGTAAACTTGTGGTCATAAATGAATAGTACTCGGTTTACATAAAATGACCAAACAACTTGGGAACAGAGAATGTACAGGAAATAATGCTATTGAAACATACGTTATGTAGACTTATATTTCATGTATATTGACATTTTAGTTTTAATCTAAATCACAATTGTGATATTCAGTCAAGTATTCTTTTACAAGTCAATGGACAATGAAAAATATAATTGTCAGATCTATAACTTTCTGCATGATAAATGTGTTCTACAATAGTTTATTGGGGGTACCTACATGGTATATTAGCACACTTGCTTGTATGAAGTGCAGTAGGCCCACATCTCTAGATATGATCTGTTCTTTATTCCTCTCCTGGGTTTGTAATCAGCATGCTTTCACCATCCACTGTAGAGAAGCATCATCCTACATAAGAGAAAGCAATGTAGGTACTTCAATTAAAAAGTGATAATAATAGATACATATCAACCATAATTCATTGTATAAACAGACTTTCGTTGATCTTATGTTGTGTTCTTCTTCATCTTCATTGCTCAAGAAGTGAAAGGACCACTTACAAAAAAAAAGTAATGAGTGGTCCTGTGTATACCCTACATGTATGATCATTATCATGATTATGTAGTGCTTTGAATGTGCATTAGACATCGTTCTTCTACACACAGGACCTCCTGTAAATAAGGACTTGATACTTGATGAGGTAATCCCTGAAGCAGCTTTTCCAAGCTATACTGGGATGGGATGTGTTGTGACAGCAGGTGAAGGTGCAGACAACAAAAGGGTGTACAATTCGTCGGCGTTTACATGAACCGTCGAATCCGTCGATTTTTGGCAAATTTTTCAAAATATTTTTTTTTCCATAATTGCGTTGACTGTTATGATATCTTTCTACTGACAAATTTTCAGAAGCTGATTTGAGATAATTTTTGACAAAAACATGTTTATATTTTTACTAAAAACGAAACGTTGCGCGGAGCGATTGCATGAACCGTCGAATGCGGATTCGTCGGTTCATGAAACCAACCCTCCTTAAATTCTAGCAGACGATGAACCGTCGAATCTGTAGCATCGTCTGAACGGGATGTAAAAATTGGTAAGCAAACTGTGTTTCGTGTACCTAGTTGTACTTTTATGAGATTAGATGCATGAATTTAATGAAAATCAGAAGTCGCTGCTTAAATTATACGAATTTATAACACATTTAAGCAGATATTTCGAACTCAAAACTCGGATTGTCCCACCTGTTGATTTAGATGTTAGTAAATCTAGAGATTTCGATAAAATCAATTTCAATGGACAATATACTAATTACTATAGGTCGAGGTCAAGACGGACGATTGTTCGTACTATGAATCTTAAATTAAACTCTAATGTGTTATCATTTCCCTCGTTTTTTTAAATATGGGTAGACTTTTGAGTATTACTGTTGAAATTATTAAGTGTCGACGGCGGTTAAGTCTGGACTGTACTGTAGACTGGTGCATGCATGGTGTTGCTCATGCCATGGTTGCAGGTTGTCACTCACTACTATTCATTTTATTTTAAACTAGAGTTTAGACTCAGTTAAGTAAGAGTTTAGCCACCTTGACACTTCCACAAATTTTTGTTCCCCCATATAGGCCATACTTAAATATTGTTCACGCCATTAATATTCACGCAGTGTTATAAGACCCTAGCTCTTTGCCGTCACTTTTTCTTTCCTGTTTTCCTTAGTTTTCTGTGCCGTTGAATGCACATGGGTAAACAATGCGCAAGTAATGTGAAAACTGCGGGAAGTATCCGCAGCCGATGCACAAATTATGAGCAATTAATTCATTCGTAAATCCATCGTGAATTAGTCAAAAACATGCGTGCCACTCTGGCATTGGCACGCACCGGTCAGTATGGACACAGGTAGAATACGTATAGGATACTCATAGTTCCTGAAGTGTTCACGAAAGTTGTCCACCAAATTTGTTGTGCCAAAATTTTAAACATTTTGAAAATTCTGCCACAAATTTCAAGCTTTGTCCCGCATGGGCCTCATCCTCCAGCATGTTCCGCAAACGCTTCCCGTTATGGCAGAAACATGGCATGAAACGATGGGCAAACCATGCACAAACCAATATCGTGCAAGTGTCAGGGTGCTCTAAGACTATGAGTTTAACTTTGAAATTAGTGACTAGATTTTGTCTAGATTTAGATCTCTACTGTTTGTGTTAGTTAACTTAGTATGCAAATAATTGTGGTACCATTCATTGTTTCAATCCCTTGCCTTTTGTTTTGTTTTGATATTATTGTAATAGTGAGATGAGTATGGGTACTACTTGTCGATGTTTATTACTTGAGTACACAATTTCTGTGCGGGGACGCTAATAACTAATAGGGGCCTGGTTGGTTATGGCTCTGTCCTGATGATACTGACACACACTACAACAGCCTTAATTGGTTCTGTGATTTGTGTAGATCTACTCACCTTTTCTCTCCATACATTCACAAATTGAAGATTCTTTTTAAATCAATAAAATTTGAATTTGAATTATAAAATATCCAGCCCCACCCTCCACCCCCATGCCGCCTACGCCTATATGATGACGACTCGGACAGTCAGGTATTGGACATTTATATATATATATATATATATATATATATATATTTTATTTTTTTATTTATTTTTTTTTTTTGGGGGGGGGGGGGGTGGCTGAGGTGGTTTCCTTGAAAAATGTATCGTCTTAATTGTCACCAAAATAAATGTTTATAAGTTTGACTCTAAGTTGGGGGGGGGGGGGGGGGGGGAGCAAGATTTCCCATAAAGGGGGCAAATTATGATAGGATTATGGGTGTGTTATGTTTTCCTTTCTCTTGTCCCCACTGGAGCGGGGGAAATATATAAGCTAGATTATGGGGATGTCTCTATATGATTATCAAAGATGAAAAGAAAAGACATGATACAGGGGACGCCACCGTTCCCATAATGCCTTATGGTCACAAAATCGAATCTTATTTGTCTTAAAATCTTGAAAATCCTTACTTGTATTGTATATTTACGAAAAGCTTGAATATAGTTTATAACTTAAGTCCCTATAACCCCCTGTCTGTCGCTTCCTTCCTTTGCTGAGGATTAGGGACATGTTAGATCAACCCCTTGATGGCAACGGTGCTACACCCCCACCCCCCCCCCCCATGAAACACACACAGGCTACGCCATTTATGAACTACTTGGACGAGAATTGTCGATAATATGCACTTGTACCAAGGAAATACTTCAGGGTGGGTGGGTCGAATCGCGCAGCTTGGTCGGACTGATGGGGGGGGGGGGAGGGGGCTAGGGCCCGGGATGATGGGTCACATATCTTATTGGGGCATGCCTTTTTTTTTATTTTTTAAAAGTATGTTTTCAATGAATGTTTTCTACAAATATTCGGGCCATGTGGCGTCCCCCCCCCCCCCCCCTGCACCCACCCCTAAGCCGTGGGGTGTCCCCTATCCATTTTGCTTTCTTATTATCATTTTGTTTATTGCTTATTTGACTTTCATTTTTGTATGAATAGGGACCCTCTTCTAAATGAAAAGCGACTCTCTTGTATTATGAATAGCGGCCCTCAGGCTTTTCTAGTATTATGAATAGGAACCCTTTTCTCAAATTATGAAAAGCAGCCTTATGAATAGCGGTCCTTATGAAAAGCGGACCTTATGAATAGCGGACCTTATGAATAGTGGTCCTTATGAACAGCGGACCTTATGAATAGCGGTCCTTGTGAATAGCGACGTTGAACTGATTTTTCGGTCTAGGTTGGTGATTATTGAGAATGTAAGACTACTTCAGTTTAGTTCAGCCTGAGGATTGGGTAGCATGGTTTGGGTTAGACAGAAATAACCATCTGGTATGGGTCATTCTTTAATAAAACAGACTTTTGCCAACATTTCCCATGTAGACGGTACTTTTACGGCTCGCACAACAGGGGTAGATTGATCGATTGCTACCGATTTTGTACCACTTCCATAAGTTTTGGTAAAAAAACTTTCTCCCTCATTTTTCTTGATTTAGATCTAATTGAAATAAAAAATCAGACAGAAGAAAAATACATATTTAGTTCTTTTTTATGTTTTTTATATTTTTAAAATTTTAATTACGTATTTCCAAAGGCGAAATTTACGGAATTCCTTTATACGAGTTATCCAATTTTTATCTCAGAACCAGTGAAACGGTATGTTTATGAATTCAAACTGTAATCTATGACAAGACCCGGCCAGGTCAACTTCGCAAATAATAATAAAAATTGAAACTTTTCATTTGTTTTCCAGCAATAGATAGTTGGAAGTTTGTCGCAGAAATCCTGGCATGACCTTTGGCTGTATTCTCGTGAAAAGTGCTGTGTGATCTGGTAAGTAATTCAGTTTGACCTTTTTTTCTTCTTTATGTCTTCTTTATGTCTTGTTTGTTCAACAAAAGAATAATTGTGATAAGGTAAGTACATGTATGACTGCACATTGTCACATACCGCCATACAATTTGGAAATTGACTAGATAGGTTCTGGCACATGTGCTGTTTTTAACATTCAAATATAGGACAGCTCCCCCTCCCACCCCCACCCCCCCCCCCCCCCCCCCCCCCCACTGTGTCAATATCTTGAAAATTACAGTGTGGTAGAATGTGCAGTGAGAACAGGGAGGTGAGACTTTAACTCACATGCCCTGGTGAGAATATGTTAATCGACATGACATGATGACATGATAACAGTGTGATTATTTTCTTTTTTAAGTGACAAATGCTAGTATAAGGTTCATTTGTACACCTTATTGTCTTGAATATTATCTTATTTGATAATGAATCTCAATCGAGTTTAACATACTGGTACCTGTCCTGTCCAGTATATCAGATGCCATCTGTTGAACGATTCGTCACATAAATTGATTTGCTGCAGTAGTCAATTGTATTAATTCATATATTTTATGTTTTCTAAATTCATCCCAGAATACATGGTTGCACTATGCAGTGAAAGGCATTCTGCAGTTGGGATTATGGTAGATTGACTGCAAAATGTGAGGAAGCAATCTATTGAATACTGAAAACCCAAAGTGACTACTACTTCTCCAGCAGCAAGGGCTATATAATCTAAAGATTTCACAGTTGGTGAGTGACAGTATTTATAAAATAACTTCAGTTTTTGGCCTGAATGTGACATTCGAGATTATTCTATTCATCTTCTTTTCACAAAATTGAATAATCCCTAACAGGTACAGCTATAGCCCACAAGCTAGACACTTGGTATCCTACACGTAAAAAAGGCCCCCAAGCTAGACCATAAGTTAAAAAGGACCATGAGCTAGACTCAATATCTGTATTACGCAGTGTCAAGCTTGTAGGTCTATTTCACCTAGTGTCTAGCTAGTGAGCTGTATGTGTTGTTTGCCGTTTACATCATAGATTGTTGATCGTGTGGGCCATATAGATCGTGGGTGTCTAGCTCGTGGGAACACCTTCTCCCTCTCTGAAGGTTGTTGCAATTCATCTGATCATTGTACAGATCTGAGCATGTTCTCTTCTATCTTATTCCCATTCCTTTTCTAGAAAGAGGGTTGCCATTCTTGTTTTTTGTTTTTTTCCTTTTTATCATTGTGATCAATGCCTTCTTTCTTTTTATAAGAAGGTACTGTACATGTACAAGTCAACTGTCAAGTGTTTTTTTTTTAACGTACTTGATAGCAGAGTGATTTACACAGTCATTATTTAATTGTCATGATTCTCTGAAGATTTTTTTGTCTTGTCTGCATAGCTAGAGTGAGACATAGGTACCACTTTTTCCTACCGTGGCATCAACAATTTAAAATCACTCTCATTTCAAAAGGTTATGTCCAAATTTGATGAAAACTGCACATAGCAATAGGCCATTTTCGTAATGTAACCAAATTTAATGCATACGTCTTTGTGAAGTGCCTCAGTACAAGTTATTTCATTCACCTTATAAGAATAATAGTATTTCAATAGTCAGAAGGCAAACTGCATATATTTAGTGTTGCTAGGTAGGTCAAGCCATAATGTTTGTCCAACCTGGCAACAACTAATATATGCAGTTCGGATTCTGTCTATTGAAATACTATTATTTTTTTCAGGTGAATGAAATAACATGTATTGAGGCACTTCACAATGACTTATGCATTAAATTTGGTTACATTACGAAAATGGCCTATTATCAAGCATCACTTTATTATGTGGAATAAATTTTATGAACAGAGTCAAGGTCAAAAGTAAGTTATGTTTAATATTACTTCAGAAACTTTTAAGTAAGCAATTTGATGAAACTTGCACCGATCATTATTAAGGATCATACATGTAGATTATGTGGAAGAATTTTCATATCCAAGGTCGTGGTCAAAGGTGAATTATGGTCACTTGTGTTATATTTTGCTTCAAAAATAACCTTTTGTTAAATTCTCATTTCAAAAGTATATGTCCAAATTTCATTAAACCTGCACCCAGCAATTATGAGGAAGAATTTCTTTACCAAGATCAAAAATCAATTATGTTTTAGTGAATGAATAGTGTTGCCTTCCAGTGGTTGGTCATTTGACCTGTTTTTAGTCAATTTGGCCGAATGCTACCAAATTTCTCATGAGATATCAATTGGTAGTGTTCATACTTAATAGGCAAATTGCGAGGTGCAGGCAAGACATCACATGCAGTTTGACTTGTTTTTCTATTTTATTTATGCCTATATCTTTTTATTTTATTTTCAGGTGGAGATGTCCTGAACTTGCTTTGTGCTGCAATCTCTTGTACATGTACCACCAGATTCCAGGAATGTGATAACTCAACTTTACTTTCATCATAGAGGTGTTGTGGTCTAGTGAATAAGTCATCCGACTGCAGATCACAAGGTACAGGGTTCAAGTTCTGCTGCATCACTAATGTCCTTTGGCGAGACGTTAATCTACATTTGTCACTCTCCACCCAGGTGTTAAATGGGTACCCGGTAGGATGCAAAAGTTAATGTAGTCGGATGAGCAAGTGTGCGTTTGGAAAATGGGGACTGGGCAGAATGCTCCCCAGGGAGTGAACAACATGCTTGTGTGCGGGCAAGCCTAAATCTGATGACTGGGTAATATATATATATATCTGTAAAGCGCTTAGACACATCGTTGTATTGATGTATCATGCGCTATATAAAAGCAGAATATTATTATTATTACACCTGTAAGAACATCAAGATTTTAAGGTTAAGAATTTCATAATTATAAAAAGCAAGGTAATGAATGAGAAATATAAAAGATTCAGCCTAATTTAATTGTCAATAAATTGATGCAAATGAATGTAAAACCTTTCATGATTCTATGGTTACACTGATGGAGCATGCTTGCATGTTGTAATTATGATTCATATCAAAGTTATTTTGATTATCTTTTGCCAATTGCCCACTTTTGTAAAATAGAATATTTCAAGCTATCACATCTGGTTAAAGCTACAATAGCTGACAGTAGGGAAAGCATGTTCAATTTGTTTTGGTGTCAATGGGTGCCGGCTTAATGTGCATATGTATAGTGTTGGGTTCATGATCATACATCATGTTGAGCCCTTACTGTGTCGAACATTACCTCTTTAAGTGGTTATTTATATTAGGTATTGAAGATCAGTACAAGTTCAAGGCAAAGTTACCATAAGCGCATTACAAATTTAGTACATTGACAAGGGGCATTTAATAACAATTAGTGAACTGGCGGCATTGTATTAGAGAGTTTTTTGAAATTGTGACACTGTGTCTAAAACTTTTGATGAAGGAATAACCCACTGTAAATACAAATAATTTCAAAAACATATATTCACTGAAAATATATGTGAGAATAAAGTGTTACATGGTTTTGTGAAAACCATTGTTCTTGTGCAGTACCTATATGACAATATGAGGTATAGTATACCAGGTCAGCAGCTGATTGTGAAATCATGAACATTATTACCAGTTCACTTTAATGCAGATCTTTATTTGACCTTTACTCAAATCGTTTCGGAACTCATGATAATATTATGTAGCTTGTGCTGAATTCATGATATAACCCAAGAAAATAAGTACACTGAATGGTACATGATTTGAATTGAATTTTTTTTATTCATCAAATATGTGTAACACTCGAAAATTGTCCTGTTATTTTTTTAGATTTTTTTAGATTAGGTCACACTACAATCGTCAGTGGTATCAATGCCACAGTTGTCATTACTCAAAGAGTTCTAATTTGTGATTATTGATTATTAAATAATTGTCAAGTGTGTTTAAGATTGATGTCAAATAAATTTTGGATGTGAAAATATAATTTTGTTGTGTTTAGTTATTATTTGATAACATATACAATGTTCCAACATAATTGTAGTAATCTGCCTGTCATACTTAAGGAAAAGGGGTTACAAACTTCAGTTCAGGATTATTTCCTATACTAGAAGTAGATGCTAAATGTCAAGCATGATATCAATAATGTGTTTAGCTTATGGTTACATTTTCGTTCATATAAATCAAGGTCTTCGAAGAGAGATGGTTGGAAATGAAATTATGTGATCATGAAAATACCCAAATTACGAGAGTGTGTGAGCGAAATTATATGGAGACTGAAACTGATTCAGAAAAGTGAAAGAGAAAGAAAAATAGAAAGAGGATAAAGAAAATAATTAAGTGGTATGATCGAGAGGCCAAGCAGTATGCAATGATTCAATGAGTGGTTGAATTCAACTCCATATAAAGATGAATTATATAGAAAACGATTGGAGAAACAAGATGTGATGGAGGGGGGAATAGGATGGCTAATTAGACAAATTGAAACAGAAACAATATTAAAAGGAACAAAATTTGAAGAGAGATCAATATTTAGGAAATGTTTATGAAGTTCTGATATTTCCTGAATTATTCATTTATCAATTAAAAGTCTCATTAAGAAAAATGAAAGTAGTAGCCCTAACCAGATTATTCGATAGGTAAGCTCGTACAGTTCAACATTAAAAGTTCGATGACCCGCATTGGGCGCGTGTATTAAACGAGCAAGAACGGTTGCATGAACCGACGAATCCATGCACATTCAGCGCTTTTGTGCTGCGCGTATTCACTTTCTGTTTTTATGAACCGTCGAATGCGCTCCGTTTGCCACTTTCTGTGGAAAAGCGTAGTGCGAAATTACATCATCATTTTTATTTTATCATTACTCGACGATTGTTCAAAATTATGATTTGTTTTTTATATGGTGATTGTAAGCTGGTTTCAGGCTTTCACACTGACTAAAAATTATCGAAATCAATTATCGTACATTGCGCTATAGCGATGTTGGAAAATGTCGAACTTTCAAACGCGTTTTTCTCGAAAGTAAGATTTTGAATTCAGTGGACGGATTCGACGGTTCATGTAAACGCCGACGAATTGCTTTATACAATAAAATAGTGACGTGCAAGTAAAAATAATCATGCTGCTATATGGTTTACAGCATTCTGGAACCTACAGGAGGTTCCAACCCTCTGATGACAGGGAGGGCGGTCATCTGGAAAGCAGCAACTGTTGGGGCAGTAACTGCAGTGAATGGTAGTTGATTCCAGATGCGAATGGTGCGGGGGTAAAATGAGTACTTGTAGGAGTCGATTGTTGCCTCAGGAACAGAGAGCTTGAGTGTGTGGTCTCTTCTGCTGATGTACGTAGCTTTGGTTATGAGGTGAGGAAGACAAATGTTGACTAGCTGGTGGTGTATTTTAAAGAGCATGGTGCTTTGTGCTAGAAGACGACGTGTGTGCAGTTTATCCCATCCCAGCTGGGAAACAAGCCCTGTAGCTGACGTGGATCTTCGGTAGTCGCCTTTGTAAACAAAGAAAGGGAAGAACTAGAATAAAATATTCCCTCCACTATACACACTTGAAACATACACTTAGTTCCATTTCCTTTTTAGTGAATTAATAGGTGGTCGTTTAATATTTGTGTGCTAAATATCCTGAGAATTTTACCTGCATGGGACTTTCAGCTTCATCTTGAAAATATAAGAAATGTTGTAATGTCTACTCATCAGTTAGCTCCTTCCAGCTCTTCATCAGTTTCCATCTGTTGGAACAAAAAGAAAACAAAATCAATACGACAATCAAGGCGTCCCTTTCTCCTTAACAAAATAAAAATAGATTTAGCATAAAAGCTATTTTTCATGTCATGGTTGGCCTTAATTTTAATATAGTGTGGAAATCAACATTCCAATTTAATGGACCACAGTACAAAGTAAAATCAAATGGAAGATTTAACTTGTGCCTCAAAAAGTGCTTCATATGGCCTATAAATATAAAGTAGTCTTAAGTAGAATTGGTTTATTAAGACAAGAAGAAGTGGACTTCATAAGTAAACATAATTGTGGACAAGGGGTCTTCTCTTACACAAATAGATTTATCAACATGAACTGCACAATTCAAAGAAAAAAATCTCTAATAATATATTAAAAGTAATAACAGGAGTCAGAAGCGTACGCAGGGGGGGGGGGGGTAAACCCCCCTACCTTCATTTTTTTTATGTGTATGTTTTTCTGGAACCCCCCCCCCCCCCTTTTTTTTTTAGTGTTGTTGTTGTTTTTTTTTTTTTAATACAAAAAAAAATCCAAATGGATGACCTACCCCCCCCCCCCCCATGCTTATTCAGTGGCTGGCTGAGTCGTTGCGAAATTTTTGGTCCGATTTCAAAATGTTAACCCCCCCCCCCTCCCCCTTGAAAAAATCCTGCGTACGCTACTGATAGGGGTCTAGATCTAGATCTAGTAGACTCTAGTAAGGTCAAGGTCTAGACTCTAATGATAACTTGACAAGCATGCTGGACCCACACAAAATCTAATTATTAAATAGTCTAAACAAATCCTAGTGTTGATGTTTTTTGAATACTTTTTATTAATAAGTTCCAGGTTTACATCTAAATGAAATAGGATTTGGAGTTGTTTGATTATCAATGGTCACAGATAATTTTGGTCTATATAAAGTTGACACGGATGCAACTGAGCGAACGGATGGCACTGATAAGTAAAGCCAGGCATCAGAGTCAACATCTACTAAAGATTTTAACAAGAATTAATCCACTTGGATTATCAAAAAAAAATCATGCTTCAGAGATTATTGTAAGGCGTAACGTTAAATCTATATTTAAATTAAATCGATGATTGGTGAATTAGATTCATGATGACGATCAAATCTCAAATAAAACTTGATTAGAAAGTTTGATCTTGATGCAGATGAGCACCGAAATTCCCCGGGTGGGCCTGGCGGAACGGCCGGGCCCCTAACTGGAGTACTAGGGTGAAATGACGGCAAACCGCAGTCAAACTACTTCATGACGATGAAAATCAAAGTGCAATTTCAAGAGCAATAATTTCCTAGTCTTTTCCCCAAAAATCTGTTGAGAACGGTCTCACAATGTAACGAAATTACCGTAGATCACAAAGACTATTGCAGCTTTTTCAAAATTGATGACTAAATTCACTTAATCTACTCATATTTCAATCAATTACTCACCCATTCTCAATGAACTAAATCTTCTCAGTTTGTGCGAGTAGCCTGCGTCGTGCATAAATCTGCATAATTAAAGTGACGCAATGAGGTCAAATATATTATCCGGTTTCTAAAACGATACTATCGATAAAATACATATTCATGAGGCTCATATCCAATCAAAAAGCCGCCTCGGGTGCTTATTTTGTCTTCAATGATCCAAAAGAGGCGGAGCCTAATCACATTCGTCTGCATGGTTTCCGCGCGTGCTGCTTTCCGTCTAGTAATTATATTTAAACGTCTTTGGTGCATACCCGGTATGCATGAACGGCCAAGCCCGGCACCGGTCACATTACCGGCAAGGCAAGGCAAGATACCGGCAGCAGTCAGTGCAGTGTCTGCATAAATTGAGTAACAGCTACAAATTCGCATCTCAATGAAAAGAATTGTGTTAAGAGTATCTGTAGTTTATGTATGTACTTACCATATGATTGGACCTTGGACAACAAAATGCCGTAGAAGCACGAACGTACCGTAGTGATCGTGGGAACTTTAACCCTGGTGATCTGGCCTGAGTGACCCTTCAAAACAATATTATTTTAGCGCTGATTAATTCGATAGCGATGAGGGCGCTATCTATAAAATTATAGTCTAGCATAGCAAGGGGCTCTCAACTCTGCATCCTTCCAGCCAACTTTTCATTTTGTTATTTTGTGGAAGATATGTGATGATGTAGGCACACAATCATGTGATCTGCAATGACAATGCTGTTTGACTGATGTTTGCATGGTAGTGGTGCAGTCTTATGCGGGATTAAGTAATTGGTTTTTAAAACCTTGTGATATTTTTAAACCTGGCAAAAGCCATTCTAATCGTGTTTCCTAATAAATGGGCAGGGGAAAATGTAATAATACAATTAAGGGATAGGAGGGATAGGGCAAGGAATAGAAATGACATATCAAAGGTGTCTATATAAATAGAGAAGGGTTAGGGCAACATGAAGTTCAAAATAAGTCAATCCCAAAATGACTACATTTGGAAATGGCCCGGGGTATAATAGGACCTATGGAAATGGAAATATTGAAAAGGGGAGCCTGGATTGAAATGTTACTGTCGCGGAGGGGGGGGGGGGGGGGGGGGGGGCAAATGTAGACACATTAATGGCGTCAAGTGAGAAAATGAAGAAAAGAAGTGAAGAAGAAAAGAAGCAAATTTAAACTGTCATGGAAAAGGGGCACACTATGAAAATCAGTGGTGAATCAAAAAGACAGGGCGAGAATAATTAATTATTTGGGCACTGAAAACAAAATTGATCATGGCACATACATTTTAGTGAGCTAAATAAAACTTTCCTCTTGTGGAGGCGTGATAGCTCATTCGGTAGAGCAATGGTCTCGTACTCCGGTGACCCGGGTTCCACCAAGTCGATGCAATAGTGTCCTTTGGTAAGGCATTAATCCTCATTAAACCTAAAGCCGTCGGCCGTCTGGTTGCTAACCATATGCGCCGGAAGTGGGGGGGGGGGCAGGGGGGCAGTTGCCCCCCAATCAAAAAAATGGGGGGGGGGCAAAACGCATTTCCCCCCCCCCCCCAAAAAAAAAAAAAACACTAAATGAGTAAAGATGGCTTGTCTTTTAAACCCCAAAGAACATAACAATAATAAAAACCTTAATTAAATCACATATAAAATTCCATTCAAAGAAAAGGAAAGTTAACAGAAATTATATTTCCTAAACATTGCGCATGACACCTACATTTATCAACGGAGGTTTTTTCATAATAGCGATACGCGCATATCGTGGACATATCGTGAGAAAATGGAAAAGCGTGTGTGTTTGTTGTTATAGGGTGAGAAGACATGAGCCCCTGAACGCTGTTGTACTAAGTAGGAGGGGGGGGGGGGTATTACTTATTCGATGCCAGTGATTTACAAATGTTGCTGAAATGAAATGATTTTCCGGTATTTTTTTTCCGGTAAGTCAAACCTTTTTATGTGTTTGTTGAAAAATTAGAAATTCCCAAATTTACAGTCGGGCGAAAAATATGCTTATTTAGAAGGCTTTATGTCATGGTCTGCAAAACGGCTGGACTCGGGGGCTCGAGCCCCCATTACTTTTTGAAAAAGTATGTAACAGAGAAAAAGAAAGAAAGAGAGAGAGAGAAAAATAAGTGACCTGCCAATGTCACAAACGAGGTATCAAAATATGCTCATCTGACCGTAATTAAATACCTAAAACCCCCGAGCTTCTAAGGGGCTCTCCCCCGTGGACCCAACCAAAGGCCTTAAGGCGGTTCCCTGGATGCTCATCTGACCGTAATTAAATACCTAAAACCCCAGAGCTTCCGGGGGCTCTACCCCCTGGACCCCACCGAAGCCCCTTAGGCGGGCCCCTGGATGCTCATCTGACCGTAATTAAATACCTAAAACCCCAGAGCTTCCGGGGTTTGCTCCCTGGACACTCCACCAATAATTAGTGACCTGCCAGTGTCACAAATCTAAATCTAAATATGCTTATCTGACCGTAATTTAATGCCTAAAAACCCTGAGCTTTCGGGGTTTACGCTCTACCTGATCGTTAATGCTCCACTTTGAAAAACGTTCCACGGGGCCTGCATGTAAGAGTGGTGGTGATGCAAATTCTGCCCCCCCCCCCCACACTTCCAAACGTTTTGCTCAGTACGTCACTGCCCCTGGAAGGTGAGCCCCCTGGAATGTTTGCCCCCTCCCCCCCCCCCCCCCCAATCCCAAACTGCTTCCGGCGCGCCTGTTGCTAACAATTATTAATGTTTTCTAATAGCAGTCATACAGGTAAAAATAACCATCATCACTCTTCATGCTCAGGGGCGTCGCTAGACCTTTTTCAGTGGGGGGGGGGGGGGGTTAGAGGCCAACGATTACCGACAAAACTAGCCACCAATTACCGACAATATTAAATGTCCCAATATCTACAAAGTTAACCCTATAAACCCGGGGCCGAAGGCTAAATTGTTTTTACTATAGACTATATATAGTACTTGCGTATGCGCAAATGGTCATTTTCCTCGTCGACATAAATAAACGAATCATTCTGTCAAATTAGTCAGATCATAGCTATATATTTTAATGCAGGCGCGGAGCTAGGATCTTATTCTAGGGAGGGGCAGTAGTGAGCAAGTGAATCCCTTATTAGAGCGCGCGGTGAAAAGCTTTGACGTTTGATTTAATTATTATAGAAAGAAGACGATTTGCTGCACCGTGTTCGACTCTAATTAATAAGCCCTATTTGTCTAATTCATCTTCCCCCTCTCGCGCGAAGCGCGGAAGCTTTGACGTTTCCTTAAATTATTAGAGAAAGCAGACGATTCGTTGTACCGTTCGCGACTCTTAACCCTAATTTATCTGAATTCAATTTCCCTCCTCCCTCGCGAAGCGCGGAAGCTTTGACGTTTCCTTAAATTATTAGAGAAAGAAGATGATTCGTTGTCATTCTCGACTCGTCTAAATGAAGTTTTCCCCTTCCGCGCAAAGCGCGGAATTTTTTGGCGTTTCATCAAAATATAGAGAAAGGAAGACGATTCGTCGTACCGTTGTTGACTCTTAATCCTTGTTTGAATTTAGTTTCCCCGAAAATTTTAAACCTCTGATTTCTTTAGCTGATATTAAAGGATTTAAAGTGAAACTTCGATAAAATACAAGTATTGTAGTTGTAGTCACTCTCGAAGTCGTCACAGCGGATAAAAAGTCACAGTTCGTAGGGAAAAAAACTTGTCGGCCGACCAACAATATACATCCCACCGACTTCAAACTTCTGCATTGATAAAGTACACGAGGATCGAGCAAGAATACCGACACAGCTGACCCGACACATATTTACCGTGTCTTTTTTGCTCCCTCGACGAGACGACTTCACCCAACAACCCCTTTTCTCTTTTACTCCCACTCCTCTTCTCTCAGGCTCTTACCTCCCCTCTCTCTCCTCTCTTTCATCCCCGTTTCTTTTGTTTACCTTTTCTCTTTTTTCTTTTATTTCTCATTTTCTGTCTTTCTTTTTTTTTCCTTTCTTTCCTCTCCTCCCTCTTTTTCTTTTTGTCTCTTTCTTTATTCTATTTTCTTTCCTTTCTTTTCCTTTCTTTCCTTTCTTTTCCTTCCTTTCTTTTCTGTTCCTTTTTTTTCTTTCTTTTCTTTCCCTTTCCCTCTCTTTTTTTCCCTCCCCCTTTTCTCTTTTTTCCCGACGGCAGCGCAATTTTACCGACAATATCCTGACAGGTGGGGGGGGGGGGGGGGTGTCGCAACCTCCTTCTCCCCCCCCCCCCCCCCCCCCCGTCTTTGGAGACGCCCCTGTTCATGCTCACGAACCGAGAAGTTAATATATAGACAACGTCAAATGGATTCTCAAAAGTCATCGGAATCTTTTGACCCGGATACTTAATGAGTAAATGTGGAAATATAACTGTTAGCGTCCTCTATCGGTAGGAAACAATATATATCTCAACATGCAGTACAGTTGAATTCTATTTAATTACCCACAGCTTTCATTAATATTGACCTTAATATCGTCCAAAGAATCTATGGACATTCAAGTTCTTTCAGCCATGTGTACGCTATTCAATACATTTTTGTATAGGCTCACCTGGGTGAAATAAAAGTAACAGCAAGTGGACAGACCATCCGTAATCCAGTATTCTGGGGAAAAAGGGATGTGTTTTTTTTTTCTTCTTTTCATAAGCCAATACTAGTACTCACTTATTTATCACATGGGATCGATCAGTTTTATTTGCGAGGAAATTTGAATTCCATATTTTGTGGTTTGGATGGCCTTATCTACAGACTTATACACATCATTGATGAGAAGTGACTTAGGTAAATGGGTATCTGGTAGGATTATTCCTTGAAATGCACTGTGCGCTGATAGCGGCTGCTTAAAGGTAAAGACCAGTATTGGAAATGCCCCAATTTCAAAAAATGAAATGGAAGCTCTCATTACCAATCATCTGAAAGAATATGTTTTGACTAATACATGATGATAAAAAATTTGCCGGGAAACCGCCTACTAATTCATATATTTGGTAAATTTGTTTCTCTCATGGTCTGTGAGAGATATAGGGTAGTCCCATATACATCTTTCTGTGTATAGTGCTTGTAACTTTACGAAGAATGGGCCAAATTTCTTATCATTTTGATGATTCCAGAACCTTGCAGATGCTAGATGCTAGATGATCAACCTTTTCTGATCGATTCCACAACGTTTCTTTCACAATGCAATCGCATGACCATAACTGGTCTTTACCTTTAAGCTAAAGCTAGGGTAATAATTTCCAATCTTTGGAAGCGCATAGGGACTATACATGTATATAATGTGATATGCGCTATCCAAGAACTGAATATTATTATTACTATTGATGAAGTAAGTTATTACAAATATTTAGTAAGACCTTTTATGTGTGAGGAGGATGGTGGATTGTTCAACAAAGAACGTCGAGTGACTGATTCTACAATTTAGTTATAGACTGTGAACTATTATTATACGCAGATGACAGCGTACTACTCAAATCCTAAACCAAAATTTATTGAGGAAAAGCTCAGTGAACAGCTGTCTACATGTGTCGATTGGATGAGGCTGATAATAAGCTTTCTTTACGCTTGGGAAAAACAGAAAGCATTTTGTTTATTTAAAGGCATTGATTTGGCTAGCGCAATTTAATTTTCATCTTTAAAAGAGTGAGTACTGTTGTCTAAAAAGCAAATTCTCGTCTCGAATTTGTGTACAGATATCAAAGTTGTATGGATTTAAAAGCAAGACGTTTACTCCGTTTTGCTCTTATTGAATGTTTGTTCGACTGCGCTATAAACCCTGCATGGTATAGAGTACCGAAGCTGTGACGTCATATAAATCTATTTTTAGAATTTCTCAATATGTTCTTCATTTTCCGACAGAGCATCAAAAATAATGTCCAAACGTAGAAAACCAATTGAATATGTTGAGTATTGGCTGAGATATGACCATCTGAAGGAATATATTTCCTATATTAACTCAGTGTTATTCACTCTGGCTCCTAATCATAAACAAGTCAGACCAAAAGAAGTTGAACATTAAGGCAGAACAAAATAGTGAGATTCATCAACTGTTCTGGTCCAAGAACTCATGTTCGATACAGCGAATATACAGAGAGTCAGAGGAGAGGAGAGAATGGCATGCTATAATGATTGACATAGCCTGAATACAGAACACTTTTCTATTCTCTGCCAGGTTGATACTTTTTAATTTTGTTCACACTGTTGTGTTGGGATCGGTGTATGAGATATAGGCAGTAGGCGAGGTATAATGAAGCAGCAAGGAGAGGCTTGTTATTCTGGAGTCATATTTAAATGTGTAAAACACAAGATGAAGAGAGAGCCAGCTAGAAAGATTGAGAGCGTATCCGGACACATAGTACCCCCTGGACATCCACCCCCGGATAACCAACCCACAGCAACCACCCTCTAGGACGACTACTCCCTAGGACAACTACCCCCCCCCCCGGACAACTACCCCCCAGACAACCACCCTCTACGATAATTTATACAGAACGCTAGGGTAGGTTACATAGTGTCAAAAGGACAAAGACATGAATGAGGAAGTCATGAAATCCTGGTAAGTGGATTATGAATGCACTTGATCTTTCTATGGGAAGGGATTAATAAACATACATGTATACACTCGGAACTTAAGTGCATCTCAAATGGGCATCTCGTCAGGGTATAAAATGATATGAGGGTACTTAAATTAACCGGGTTTTGGTACAATACCACACGACAACAGGTATTTTCGTACGTTTTAGAAATTCTTCACTATTTTCCTCTTCTTCTACCTCCTCCTCCTCCTCCCTTTCTTCTTCTTCATTTTCTTTTTCTTCTTCTTTTTCTTCTTCTTCTTCTTCTTCTTCTTCTTCTTCTTCTTCTTCTTCTTCTTCTTCTTCTTCTTTTTTTTTTCTTCTTCTTCTTCTTCTTCTTCTTCTTCTTCTTTCTTCTTCTTCTTCTTCTTCTTTTTCTTCTTCTTCTTCTCTTCTTCTTCGTGTATATGTTGTTATACTATTATTATCATCATTATTATCTTTAATGAATAATAATACGTGTTTTCGTACATAACTACCATCATCATCATCATCATCATCATCATCATCATTAGTATCATTAGCAGCAGTAACATTACCATCATTACCATCATCATCATCATCATCATCATTACCATCATCATCATCATCATCATCAACATCATCATCACCATCATCATCATCATCATCAACATCATTATCATCATCATCAACATCATCATCATCATCAACATCATCATCATCATCATCATCATCATCAACATCATCATCATCATCATCATCATCATCATCATTAGTATCATTAGCAGCAGTAACATTACCATCATTACCATCATCATCATCATCATCATCATCATCATCAACAACATCATCATCAGATTCTGCAAACGCACATTTTTCTACAGGGGGGGGGGGGGGAGGAGGGCAAGTTACACAACCATTCCCCCTTCATATTCGCAATTGCACATCTCTATGTTGTCAATACCGTGAGACCTCAGTATAATTTGATTAACTTCTATTTCTTCTTGTATTGTCTTGTCTTTGTTTCTTTCGTCCATCTTCTTCTTCTTATTATTATTATACTACTTCTTCTGCTTCTCTTTCTACTTTTCCTTCTTCTCCGTTTTATTTTTTCCCCTGGAAGACTTTAGTCCAGATTCTGGCCGGTTCTTTATATTTCCTACACTTGATTCAAGCCACCGAAGATGGCGTCATCAAAGAACTCATTATTGTGCTCACAACCAAGCCTAAGAACTTTTTCGTCGGGCGTCCAAAATTTAAGGATTACGCCATCTTTTGCTGGCAGCAGGGAAGTAGTTGGAGGCCGCATTGCGTGTGTGTGGTGGAGATCAAATTAAAGAGACCAGCTGCGCGATGAAAGTGCAGCTAAAAACGCTTTTTTTTTTTTTTTTTTTTTTTTTTTTTTTTTTTTTTTTCCTTCTTGTTTTTAATGTTGTTGATTTCAAAATAGTGCCTTACGATTTTTCTTGCTTATGTAATCTGTATATTCAGTGTATATGCTTATATAATTTTTTTTTTTTTTTTTTTTTAGGGGGGGGGGGGTTCTTTTGTCAAGATTATATTCTCTTTTTATATAAAACTTTATATAACTTTTTATAAAACTGACAAACAATCATTATCATCATCATTAAAATCATCATCATCATTTTAATCCTAACCATCATTTTTTATCGTCATTATCATCATCATAACCATTTGAATCGTCACCATTATCATCATCATTTATATCGTCATCATCATTATCATCACCATCATCATAATCCTCATCATCATCATCATCATCATCACCATCATCACAATCCTCATCATCTTCATCATAACTATTATCATAATCCTCATCAATTATATCGTCATCATTTATATCATCATAATCCTCATAATTTATATTATCATAATAATCCTCATCATAACTATCAACAGCACCTTTCAAGTTTCAACGCATTTCTCTAGCAACAACCACATTTTCGCCAAAGTAAACCTGTCAAGTACATTATTGCGTAAGTCTAAGAATATGAACCTCAATTCATGCATATCAATCATCGATCAGTCTGACGTCAATAAGAGAACAATGAAAACCACAAGTTAATTTTTCTTTGAAATATTTTTCACGTATATTATTTCTGCATAACGACAATAACAATAACAAATCATTCAGGCTCTTACGCACCATTTAGTGGGGGTATACATATAATTTTGCAATATTACCGTATAACGCATATGTTATCAATTCAATTCTCTTTGACAATTAAAAAAAAAAAATTTAATGAGGAAATCTTTTCTTTTGTCCACTATATTACCCGATTATTTCGGTAAAACCATTCCAAATTTGAAATATTGTTTAGCAATTTAAAAGAATTACGTTATTTCATGTTAATCCACGAGTCCATGAAGAATTTTTTTTTTAGATTCAAACGACACCAAATAAAATGTAAATTTTGCAAGAAACATGCATTATTTTTGAAGCTTCGATTTTTCTTTACGAGACAGTATCTTTTAAAAATATTGTCGAAGTTCAACTGGATAATTTCTCATCTTATCATTCTGTGCGTAGCGTAGTACTGTAATCATAAAGCTTATCATTCATTGCAACTCTTTTCAGTAAAAGTCATATAAAAAAAAAATAGCATTAATAACACCTCTTACTTTGACGATGTTGATAAAAATAAATATAATTTATCTTATTTACATAAAGTCTGTGACGTTTCAGTTTCCTTTCCGATAGAAAACGTCTATTTAGTACTGATATAATGTTTCTTTGATATATGAACAAATCTTTGGAAAGTCCTGGACTCGATCATTAGCCCTTCTTTCTTGAAAGCCCCAACCACGAGAAGTCGCGATGCCTTTACGCTCATGAGCGATGTCGACGTTTCGTGATCGGCTTGTAAGATATTCGTCTTCATGATGTCGACGAGGTCATCATCACATTTCTGGTGTTGTCATGAAACTTTTTGACTGAGGGTTGTGGAACGCCGCGCGAGGGGTTTCCAAGACTTCGATTTTATCTCCAACAGGCGAAGGTGGGAATAATCATTATCTTGTTTCTGATGAAGAGGAAGCCAGTAACCTGCGGCAGCTCCTGGGTGAATAGGGCAACTCTTCCATGCCGTTCGCCTAATGAAATAAAAGAAAAAGAGAAAAAGAGAAAATATTAATGCATTGCATTAACCATGAATAAGTCATAGTTCTATACAGGCACAAAATGAATATGAGACACATAAACTTATCAAAACCGCGGTTGGAAAATAAACAAAGAAATTAAAATCTAAAAGAAAGAAACAGGGTAAGAACAAGTTTGATGAGTTTTAATCTTTTCTGTATTTTACTGTACTTCATACAGTAATACGGATACATATCGATATGCTTTTATTTTATGAACGAAATATTGACATATATACATGATTTTCTTTCAAATACGAAACAAGATATCAGTTTGAAATATGTTTTAAACTCCTCACAGCCCTTTAAAGACTTGATGTAATAAAATATCCTTGTGAAGATTACTGGGAGGATCAAGGGACATATCATTTCTTAACAAAACTCACCCTAAAAAATCTGCCACTCTTCATCACCTGAGCCAAATTGCCCAATCTCCTGGTCTTAGCTTCTTCCTTCGCCTCCTCGTCCTCCTCTTCCTCCTCGAAGTCGAGTACGTTGTCGTCATCGAGGTCAAGTGCGAGGCTCGGTGGACCTAGGGCATCGACGTCTACGGTAGTGCTCGCTGAGCCGAGGTGAATCGTGATCTCAGCGGGTTGATTTCGTCGTAGAGCACGGATGGAGAGGGCGGCCACGGCCATGATGGAGACTGCGAGTGCGATGAGGAGAGCCGGAGCGGCGACGGCGACTCCGCGGGAGTCAGAGCTATCCTGGTTATTGGAGGATTTTCCAAAAGCTGCCGAGAGAAAAAAGGGAAAAATTGATGATTATAATCAATGCAAAAAACTATTTAATTGAAGAAAAATGATAAATATTAGATAATTGCAATGAAAAGGTTAATGTAAGCTTTGGTTGCTTTATCTGATATTGTTTTTAAAAAATGAAAAACCTGTTCAAACGTCCAAAGCAATTAAGCAATGGAATGCATCAGTGGGTCAAAAGGCCTGTTGTAGAAGAGCTAAAATATCGATAACCCAATGGGATATATAGTCTAAGGAATTTTCGATCCCACCGAAATTAAGCTTGAAATTAAACTCACTTTAACTGATAAATGAAAATAATGAATGAATAATAAATCAAACTCACCTTCTGCTATCATTGAAGCCCACACAAGGCAGCATGTTGTTACTGATGAAGATTCCATGGTGTTAATTGGTATTCCTTGATTAAGAGTTGATGAGATGGAATATCAGTGCTGGGTGCTGTGTGATGCTCTCGAGTTTCCAAGTCACGAATGAGGTTCCAAGAGTTGGACAGCGAATAATATCACACTACTAGAGACGTCATCAAATTCGACAAACGTCATCAAACTCCTTGGCAACTTTATAGTCTGTTGTACAAGTTTCTGTTTGATCAACCCCTTTTTGAACGTACCGACGAAATCTGGGCGAGGGCACGGAGAGAGAGGGTTTCGGCAGGAGCGCCGGAGTTGCTTCTCAGGCACGGAATGAGCCTTTCGTCTCGTGAAGCTCCGCTTTATATACTGGGACCGAAATAGCTCAGGAGGGAACAAAAGATCGGCGACAATAGGACGAACGTCAATAGAGATTTGTGAAATATTTGCCTGTCTAGATTATGGGCGTGGGCCCAAAGAAAGTTTTGTTAACTTTGAAAGGCCTCTTTTGTGTGTATTCAATGTATGGTTGTGCGATTTTAGTTGTTTGCCCGAGCATGCAAGCTTCCACTTCACACCGAATTATACTGTCGCCTACATGCCGTGTGTGGTAAGCAGTAGACCCTGCCACACATACAAGACCGACACCAAGCCGACGACAGACCGAATCAAAACATACATTCCCCCCAATGGTTAAGAATGGATCCGAACGGAGTCGGCTTTTTATCGGCATTGTGGTGTGACTGAGATATAAACAGAGAGTCTCCCAGGTATAACCTCATACTTCTCCATGTTACCGTACAAAAAATAAGCTAAGTTGAGCATGATCTGATGTCTTCGACATTATTCTCATGCTCTCGAAATGCCTTTATCTTATAATAATAGTTACCAGCGATAGTGTGATATTAAATTTGTTCAAATAGATTGTTTTCTTATAGATTGTGGATAAAATATATAATATATATATTATATATGATATAATATATTCAATACTCAGTTTTGGGAGAAGAAAACAAAAATTAACAGAATGTATAATGTTAATGAACTTGTACATATACAGTGCGTTAAAAAAAAGCATACGAACTTTGCCTTTGGTAGATCCTAATTAAATGTCATATTAAATATGACTTTGAAATTTATTTCATGATGAAGAGTAACCATTTTCTGTCCAATGATACCCTATTCATAATATATCTGCCACGAGAGACTGAATACCAGGGTCTTTAAAGAGTATTGTCAAAATCGATTTGTCCCAATGGAACGAATGAAACGAGTGAGGGTCAGGCCATGCTACTTGTGGTTCTTTGGTATTAAATCCTTTAAAAAGTTAAATAATGATTTGTGCTGCAGTGCTTTATTGTTTTTAAATGACACAATGTATATAGGCTTCCACAGAACCTTGTTTCAATCCATATAACCTTTAATTATTTTGAACAGCCTACCAACGACTTGCCTAATGATATATAAGTTCTCTCTGCTGTCTTGTCCGCTGCGCCATTTCACATGTAAGGAGCATAGGGTGTTCTAGGACACCTATCCCTGGACAGCCACCCTTCGGATAACCATCCTCTAGGACGACTTCCCGCGGGACAATTCCCCTCTAGGATGATAACAACCTCCTAGGACAACCACCATCTAGGACAACTTCCCCCTAGGACAACCACCCTCTAGGAGAAACACCCCGGACAACTTTCCTAGGGGGAAATGGTCTGGGGTAGTTGTCCTAGGGTAGTTGTCTAGGGGTAGTTGTAATAGGGGGTTGGTTTCCTAGAGGGTGGTTGTCCTAGGGGGCTGTTGTCCTAGGGGGTAGTTATCCTAGAGGGTAGTTATCCTAGGGGTGGTTATCCGGTGGTGGTTGTCAAGGGGGTAGGTGTCCGGATACGGTTTATCTCGAATAGCGAATGAAAACTCAAAGGTTACCAAATGCACGCAGGAAAGAACACAATCATAATTATGATGATCAGTATCACAGAAATTGACAGTAGAGTTCATTAGTAAATAAAGATTACAGGCCGAATGAACTTTATGCATTTGTATCATTCAATGAGAAGGGTGCCCATATACAAGGATTGCAAATGAAGTCAAGATTGTAATATAATTGTAACATAAGCAAAGAGAATATTATACATTTTGTTGGTAATCAGCATTTCCTTGACTTTGAGTTGATGTTAACACCTTTCTTTTCAACTGCCTATTTCAATGTAGAAAAGAGAGCAATTATATTTGGAATTTGATAACACACACATAATGGCTTTTGGCCCACATTCATTATTTTTTTGGGGTATTTGTTGGTTTTTTTTCCCTCTGCTGCTCAGTCAACCATGGCAGTACAATTCTGATTGTGGTTTCATTAGACCGGATATTATTTACCCTTTACCATGAAATATTACACATAGGTTATAACGTTATTGGAATAGAAACTACCATAGTTGGGTAAACTTTTCCTTGATACTTACTGACTTACAGTGTGTATATATTATACGGAATGTCTATACAAAAAAGGGGGGGGGGTTGATTGGCAACATCCTTTGAGAGTTACTCACCAAAGAACCATGTGTGATTTCAAAAGGATCTAAGCTAAAACTACAAAGTTATCCATTTCAATGTACAAATCTATTTCAACAATGTTCCATTATCATGTTTGAGTCTTCAAAGTTTCTATTTTGTATCTTATACAAACTGACTACATTTTTTCATGTCAACTATTGAATTTATTCGTAGTTTGAACATGTTCATATTGAAATATAAATAGCTCAAATTAAATCAAATCAAATCAAATCAAATGTTGAAATCGACTGACCATCGACCTATTCGAATGTTAAATGTATAAATTCACATTTGATTTGTTGTTGATTATCTTTATTTATTAAAACTGTGAACATTCCAGAATCTTCCGGCGAATGCGAAGAACATAATGCGTGAATTTGAATTCAAAAGAGATTTGTAAAAATGTGTGTGGGAAAACATACAGTTATTAGTGCCTTATCATGCTTGTGGCTTTGTATTTTGTGAAGGGAACAGTTGAACCATGTCAATCATTCTGCTGCATACGTCATTCTGACGTCACCATAATCATAGCTTCTCATCACAAAACAAAACCACACACATAAAGTTATGAGAGGCAAACCGGAGCAAAAAATATATTAATCACTGTACACTAACCAGTTTGATTGCATTATCTGGCGCTTTGAGGGGCTCCAAGCGACAGTCCATGTCACCAGTAGCGTACGCAGGATTTTTTCAAGGGGGGGGGGGGTTGTTCTTCTCTTAAAAAAAACGTTTTAAAATCTAATAACTTTGTTATCTTTCTTTTTTATTCCATCTTTTTAGGCCCAACGTATTTTACCCTTTCTTTCAACTATACCTCCTTTGTTTCTTCGTCTATCTCTCTTTCTCTCTCTCTCTCTCTCTCCTTGTTTGATCCCATTATCTGACAATTTCCAATGGCTTCTTCAAACCGACATTCCGTGCATGCTATTGAGCCTGACGGGACGCCATACGTTTCTACCAATTCATTGGAAGTAACATTATTTATAGAAGTAGTCATTTTACGATAAGATAGACAGTCATTGAACCACTAATACATAGTGCGTTACACCATTTACACTAATATTAGACCATTTTTTTTTCCAAGAGAATTCTATGATCGACCAATTCAAACGATTTAGGAAGATCAACAAAAAGTACCCCTGTATACAGGCGAGTACGGAGGGGGGGGGGGGGGGGGGGGGTTGAACCCTCCTTTAATTTTTTTAATGTGTGTGTTTTGGAGGAAACCCCCCTTTGTTTTTGTTTTAATTTTTTGATCCCAAAAACTTAGCTTACCACCCCCCCCCCCCCCATTCAAAACGAAATATCGATCGGCCAAATGTTCAAATTTTGAGACACACACACACACACACACACAACAAAATGTCCTCTTACCCCCCCCCCCCCCCCACACACACACACCCTTATTCAGCGGCCGGCTGAGTCGTTGTGAAATTTTCGACGTGATTTTCAAATTTTAACCCCCCCCCCCCCCCCTCGAAAAAAATCCTGCGTACACGCGCCTGCCTTTATACAATCCCTTATCAACTGATTGAAACCGTTACCTTAATAAGGACGGTGCAGGTAGAATGCTAAGCTATGGCTTATTCATGATTGATCATCACTTAAATGTTGTTTTGTGCAGAATTCGAATGAAATGTTGCTGTACAATCTTTTCTAACATTTTTGACATACAGGTTAATACGGATATAGGTATGTAATTATCAGTTACAAACAAGCTGATCTTACAAGGGGCGATCTTCCATCCTTGGCGATCTTCCATCTGGAGGGCACTTTATCTTCAGACAATGAACTATTCATTAAATAAATGATTAGTTTTGTAATTTCCAGTGCACAAGTTGTCAATAGAAAAGAATCTTTATCATCAACCCCAACTGACTTCTTATTATTTAGTTGATAAATTTCTTTCAGAACATCCGACTCTGCAACTTTAGGAACACAACAGGTATAATCAGTACTCTCTTAACATAAGATCTTCTGTTGTTAGAGTTGTTATTTGAGTTCCAATATTCACAAAAAGGTTCATTAAAATCATTAGCTATTTTGTTTACATTGGTCAACGTGAAAAGGGAAATTCTTAATTAATTACTTATTGGTAATAGTTTTTCGAATATTTTTAAGACTTTGTTCTATCTTGACAAGAACCTATAGTTTTTTAATAAAATATTTCTTCTTTTAATACTCGTCTCATTTCAAATGTCACCTTATTTGTCAATCGTATATAATGTGTCCAACAAATCTCACATTTTTTTCTTCTAAGCTTTACTTATCATTTTTCTGTCACGATGTTTCATGAGCCTCAATACATAATCGGTTAATCAAGGGAAATAGAGTACCTTAGTGCTACCGTCATATTCGCTCATCGTCTAGGTTACTAGTTCCAAACAAATCACAACAACATTGTTTGGCATCAGCAACCTTGTCAACTTTGCCAGTAATGACGTCACACTTCGGTACTCTATGTTTTTTGCAAACCTTTTTGCCCGGGGGTCATAGAAATAATGTAAGCATGCGTGATCATAGGTTTTCCAGACTCCCACTGAACGAGGATTTCTTCTGAAGTCAAAATACACCCTAAATGAGGATTTCGCGTGGTTTTTTCTCCCGAATTCACACCTTAAACGGGTATTTCAAAGATTTAAAGTGTACTCCTAAACAAGTATTGTAAAATAATATTGTAACCCCTTGAGTAATTTGAAGTGCGATATGGATTACCATTTAAGTTGTTGACAATGTAAAATGAATCAAATTGCGCTTCTCAGTGATGTAAATTCACAATGTAAACATTTATTTCAATAG